TACTGCAAATACATTCAAGTATACCTTGTACAGAGGAGGAAAACCCTGTTTCATTGTTCCATGATCAGCTTTTTGCTCCATAGGCTCACTTTACCTCTGCTTAGTCCTTAGGCTGTGTTCTCTATTGCATGATGTTTGGTGAAGGACCTTATGACATGATTTTTCAAAAGGGGGACAGTGTGGCTTTAGCTGTTCAGAACCGCCTTACAGTGCCCAAGAACACCAGGTAAGCATTTGCTACCTAGAAGGTGGGAAGGTGGGGGGTTGTGGCGGCTCTCAATCCAAGGACAGATTGAACTAAATTGGTTCTAAATTTCAGGTACTCCCCAGCCTTGGAACACCTCCTCTCTTCTACAATGATAGTCAATCCTCAGGAGCGCCCTTTTGTTGCTGACATAATCTGTCAGCTTGAAGCAATACAGCCGCCTCTCACTGGACATGATGCCACACGCATCTGAGACCACAGGACGTGCAGCTAAAAACAGAAGCAACTGGAGGCATTTCGGCCCAGGTGGGACCTCAAGAGATGAAGTCCAGAGCAAACACCTGAGAAGACGTCATGCTGAAGGCCAGTCTTGTACTTGGAGGAACTGTCTTACAATGGGACTGCATTAAGGACGATGCTCGTCTTTGGGACTCACCCCCTGACTCTTTCCTGTATCTTACCAGGCTTTGATGGCTCCAATTCTCAGCCCTTATCAAATGCCTCCACAAAGCATGAAATTGCTCCAAGGGATCAAAATTCCCTTTCTTTGTGAAAAAAATGCTCCTAAATTTGTGCCTGAATGTACTAAGTATGGATTGATACTGAGATTGTTTTGATAAAGGCATGCCTTCAGGGCCTAAATGTTAAATAAAATGCAGCCACCATCTTGGACTTTTTTAAACCACCAGGATGATAAAAATGTGATCCAGCAATAGCGTTGTTTATTTATCATATAGCATAAATACTGCTCGATTACACATTTCCCCCTCATGTTTCTTACGTATTTAATCACATCTTCGTGGTTATTCCAGTAGATTTTCCTTTTTTGCAAGCCTTAAATAACTGCTTGACATTTAGATACAATCTCTTTTTTTGGTATTATTTATGTTAATTGTTAATTGTTTTGAGGGACAAGAGTCACATAGGGTAGGAACTTTTATTTTAACTCTCTGAAAAGTTGATTGTTTCCACGGTGATAGATATGTGCAGGAGTTCCAAGCTTGAAATGTCCGTTTTAAGTGTTTTGAGTTTGGAACAAAATACCCAAATTGAGCATTTTGTCTCATCATGTTTCCTTTTGAGCTAAAACAAAATGGAGCAGTTTCAAGCATTTTACAATTATTGTGAATATGTCACTAGGAGGCAGTGTAATAACCAGTTCATCCATGTTGGGACCCATCAGACTGTCAGATCTTTTTCTATAGGGTTCAGACACTACCAGATGAATCTATAGATTATATACAATGCATTACCTTTAGAAGTTATCCAAGTCCTTGCATTCAGTGGTGTTTCAGGAAAGTACATATATAGAGAATATATACAGTATTCTGTACACCATTCTGAAGAGAAGCATTGCTACAATTTCCTAGGAGACTCAAGTCCTGTGATTGACTTGTTTTACCCATTATAATTGGCTTAAGGCCTTTCCCTCAGCATAGCTGATAAAAGTAACAAATACTGTACGATCTTGCTTCTATTGACAGAGAATGGGATAGAGGAACAAGCAGTAATTATTTAAACATGGTTCAGAGATAATGTTGCTGCAGCAGCATGTGAATTAGTTGGGCTGAGTCATACCAGTTGTCCTGTGAATTCAGAGACAATTCTGGAGGCAATCAGTTTTCCACCTGATGGACTAATGTTACTTGCATGTCTGCAAGTAATTTATTTATTATCTGATATAGAGAAGAGCTCCTAAGATTGGATTGTTTACCATTGTGTTGTATTCTTCTGCAGATAGGGTGGCTTTGAACATACTTGAATATGTGCTGTGTGCACTCTATTACCCAAATGTTGCCAATAACACTTCAGAAATTGGTTCATTGTTATGCAGATGCTGCACTGTATGGCTTTTTTCTTTTAGTTGAGCACATTACATGCCCTCACTGAGGCTTGAGCTCTCAGGCTGCATGCTAAATGCTAAGACCGTTCATTTTAGTTTATTATGTACTCCTGGCTGTTGGTCATAGGCAAAAGTGTGCACTGTGTACATTATGAAGACAGAAGTTTCAAACTCTGTTATTGAAGTGAATATTACTCTTTGTAGCACTTCTGGACTCTTTGTGTAAGCAGGCTGAAAAAAAGGCAGCATAGAGTTTTTATTGTCTTCTATGAGAATTTCATTTATTTCATTTCATTTCATTTCTTAAATTTATAGGCCGCCCAATCCTGGAGGACTCCGGGCAGCTTACAATGAAAGAAAAAAGAAAAGCAAAATAAGTAAAAATAGTTTAAAATTCACAACACACATACGTTCTAATCGGGGCTGGACCTTNTGAAGATGGGTTGCAAGTAGATTGAGTAACTTATATTGCCTTATCCTAAATTCCTCAGCAGTCTCCTCTAAACTAAAGTGACCAGTCCTGCTTTTGAACAATTTGTCCCGCATCCCGTGGCGTTTTTAAAAAGTCCCAATTTTTTAAAATTTTTTAATCAAGAACCCACCCCACACCCCACACCCAGTCAATGGTGTCCCTCTTTACCAATGTTAAAATCTGGTCACCTTATCTTAAAGTCCAAACTCAGTGAAGGAAATACCATCAAGACATTTAATATCTGTGCAATTCCAGTCATTAGATACACAACTGGAACAGTGGATTGGATTCAAGCTGAATTACAAGCCTTCGGTAAGAAGACCAGAAAATAATAACAATGAATCATCCCCTTCATCTACACAGCAATGTTGAAAATATTTACAAGCAGCATGGATGGGCCTGGAATGTTGCAAGCACAGCAGACAAAAGGGGCATTGAAAGACTATCTGAATAGTCTGAATGATAGTGGAGAAGATGCACTGAAGGTATTATATCATGAAGGTAGTGTACCATGATACCAAACTGGCATATGAGAAAGAGCAGTGAAGAACAGAAAAGATACACAGGGAAACAAAATATTACATTTTTAAAAAGCAGGCAGATAACAAGACCTGGCAATAGCTAAGAGCAGGAAAGTTTAAGAAAGAAACAGAGGGACTAATTCTGGCTGCACAAGACCAAACCTTTAAAAACAATGCATACAAAGCCAAACTGAGAAGACAGCAATAGCAAGTGCTACTTGTGGAAAGAAGCCAAAGAAATTGTTGACCACTTTGTTGTTCAAGAGAACTGTCCAGATTGACTAGTAACAACATGATGAAGTAGCAACAGTGGGGCATTGTGATATCTGCCTGCAAGTAAGAACTGGTGGGATCACAAAATAGAAAAAGTGAAAGAAAATTAAGAAGCTAAATTGATCTGGCACTTTAGAATTCAAACAGACAGGCACCCATCACATAAAAATCTCTGTGGTAAAAGGAAGCAAAAATAGTACCAACAGTAATAAGCGCCTGGGGTACAAGCCCAAAACAACTGGAGCACCATTTGAATACTATTGGGATTGACAAAATCACCATCAATCAATTGTAAAAGGCAGCTTTACTCAGTACAACTTTCACCCTGTGATGTCAGGTCTCAAGATCTATAGCAATAGCAGTTAGACTTATATACCTCTTCATAGGGCTTTCAGCCCTCTCTAAGCAGTTTACAGAGTCAGCATATTGCCCCCAACAACAATCCGGGTCCTCATTTTACCCACCTCGGAAGGATGGAAAGCTGAGTCAACCCTGAGCCAGTGAGATTTGAACAGCCGAACTGCAGAACTGCGGTCAGCTGAAGTAGCCTGCAGTGCTGCATTTAACCACTGTGCCACCTCAGCTCCTCAAGATCTGCCTATCCCAGGTCCTTGAGAAAGACTCGATAGGTGGACAAAAATACCAAATCCAGTCTAAACATCCATCGAACCATAACAACAATAATTTCACACTTTGCTAGGAGAATTTATGGGGAAAGCAAGGGAATGATGCAAAAGATTCATTAATATTACTCTGTCTACATCTTTGTTAGACATTTCATTTCTCCATTGAAGGGCATGAGCTGACAATGTCAGATTGTGGAAAAACCTGCATAGTCCCTTAAATTACATAAAATCTTATACATCTGAATTAGGTGTTCTCTGCAGCATGCATCTTTTTTATAAATATACATCACATCTTCCATAATATATTTCATATACAGAAATTCTAACTGTATTTTACATCATAATGAACATTTAAAAATCAATATTTTAATTGCCTTATAATTATAGCAGTTTTTTAAAGAATCTTCCTCTTTCAACTGAATTTTAATTTTTGTCATTAAAGTTACTGTAGGCGAGGCATATAAATGGAAATAATTAATCATGCACAGGTATTTTTGTCTACATCCAATTTAACTTTCTCAAACTGGGTTCCTCTAGAACTTGCCAGAATATTTCTGTACAAGTTTAATTGAATAATTCACCTCCGTGAGATTATCTTTTTTTTAAAAAAAAAAGACATCTAAGAAAACATTACCAAATATGTTTTGCTTATAAAATAAGAAAAAGTCAAATGCTAATTTGACATTTTCAGATCAAGTTCAATCCTTCACTTTCATTAAAAGAAAAAAATCTCATAACATTCGCTCAAATAAACTAAGTCTGAATTTAGAATTTATTAAAACAAGTAATTTGTCTTCTCTAATATCTGACAACTGCAACCCATCTTGCTTTCTTAAATTGTTGACTTTAAATATTGGAACTTTTTTTTTTACTCTTAAGTTGCGTCTTTGAACATATTTAACAAAGAACGATAGTAATAACACTTCACCTTATATACAGTACTTTACAGTACTCTCTCAGCAGTTTACCAATGTCGGCAACTTGCCCCCAACAATCTGGGTCCTCATTTTATCAACCTCAGAAGGATAGAAGGTGGAATCAACCTTGAGCCAGTCAGGGTTAAACTCCTGGCTGTGGGCAGAATTAGCCTGCAATACTGCATTCTAACCATTGCACCACCATGGTTCTTAACAAGAATGTCAGCTATTCCAGTTCTTTAGTCAAAAGTTCATAAACTCTGATAGTTTCTATTTTTAAAATGTTCTTTAACTTTTATTGAAGACATGTTGTAGGTTTACATTCCATAATGGATTCCAATAAATTAGAAAAGTACCCCAAGCATCTGGCTCAGATTGAATCATCAAAGTATGCTTAAATTGAAGGTATTGTCACTGCTGTGAACCACAAGACCAAATCCAATATGAAGTCAAGAAAAAACCTTGAAATCCAATGAGGCAAAACCACATAGGAAGTGGCTAATAGATTGATAGCAAAGCCCACCTCCCCTGCACACCATTTCTCTGCTTTCTCTGCTCATCTTTTAATCTCGTATTACTGTATTATCATTATGTCATTGTTTATTTTATAGTTTTATAGCTTTATTATTTTTCTACTACACTTCATGTTTCTATGTTTACTGTTTAAGCTACTTACAGTAGCTCCATGAGATGGGGCTGCAAAAAATTTAACAAATAAATAAAAAATAAAAATTACATATTCATGGATTTAAAAAAAACTAGTCTGCCTTCTCATAGTTACTTCCAATTATGTATTTTATCCCTCCTTTTAAAGTAAAAATGTTATGTTGGGATTTGCATCCTACTGGTTTTTTAAAAAGACACCACACAATTATTGTTTTAGCCTTGTTGCTGTCAAGACAACAAAAAAACATAACAAATCATATAAATGAATAAATGAAACCATTAAATCCATAGCAAGTAAAAATATTTCTGAAATTGAATTTTTAAAAATTAAATTAAAAATGGGATATTATTATGAAAAGCTTTAATTACATTTATAAAGCCATTATTTCCAACCCAGAAAATGCTAAAAATTATCTAGTTACATTTTAACATTCATTTTAACTCTATTGGTTAAAATAGGAAGGTGCAGTATCAAAACATTAAAATGTAAAACACTTCTAATGATAGAACTAGAAGTTATAAATAGGCAATATATAACATTTAAGTGAAAGAAAAATTTTCAATGATGGCAGCCAATCTTTCAAAGAGCCAGAGGCTGGATGTTCAGATATAATCCAGAATTTTCCTGGGAGGGTTATGGGAATAGGAGGCAAAATACCACAGTAACAGATAGGTGTCAGATGTTGGATTGGCTGTTCCAGGAGGGATCCTACTGTAGATATCAAACTGCTGGTACTTTCGCCTCCAATTACTGTTAGCAAAGACCTCTACAACCTAAGCATGGAATAACAAGTTCCATCCTTGTTATTTTTTGACATTTGATCAATATACATATAGCTGCTCTTGAAAACTATTCCAGGTTGTTTACATATATCTCACAATGTAGAGTTATAGCAAAGGTGAAATTCCAAACTTAGATATAAAATCCTTCAAAAATAATTATGATTTGCTAGTCATCATTATCCTGTAAAACAGTGAAGTAGTCCAAGTGCTGGAATTTAAGGACTTCATTGCCCCAACTGACCCATCCAGGTTGCAAATTCCGAGCAAACAGTTCTAAGCATTCTACATCTGGCTTGGTATATTCTTTCAAAATCTCTGGAAAGTGAAAAAGACAAACAAGGTGAAGATGGTAAGGTGTTGGCAGTTGGAGAATGAAGACAGGGTAAATAGCTTTAAGGAGTTTCCTATTAGCCACATTTATTGTATATTGTCAGGAAAAAAATCTTTATTTATTTATAAAATTTATGACACAAATATGAAATATCCATCATTAGAAAAACAATAGTACTACCAAAACTTCCAGTTATTCTCATTTACAGACTGTAGTACCAATCACAGGAATCTAAACATTCACTTATGATGATTGCTAATACAACTCTTGACTGACAGATGTAAATATCTTTAACCATTTCTTCCCTCAAATTTTAAATTTAGGATTGAAAAACAGAAGTAGAAAACAATCCTTGTAGGTTATAATTTGGTTTGATTTATTGTAAACTTTCAATAACTGCATTTTACAGTTAGGAGACAATTAGTCAATTTCCATATGACTTACTTCCAGTATAACTTTCACTGGCTTTATATGGCATTTTGAAGAAACAGACAAATCTAACCTTAAGCCAATTCAACTGTTGTGATTTCCTATTGATGATCTCTTAAAGAGTGTAATTTATTGAATATGCAGATTGTTAATTCTTTACAATACCTTTTTAAAAGTTGAAGGTATTGGATAAATCAGTCACATTCTACCAATTAATCCTTTATACAGCAATTCAAATATATAAAATCAAATGCTGTTCTAAGTACATCTTAATGATGTTCTCACCATAAACAGATGGCAATTATGTTTAAACCTGTATTTGGGCCCCCGTTTCACAAACTGTGACCCAAAATATTTCAGTAATTTTCACAGATCACATCTATATGGCCAGCATGTAATTTGGGACACCAATTCCAGGTTTTCTAAATATGTACAGCCTTTAGGAGATTGCAAAAAATTAGGAATCACTACATTATTTTGCTGCCATCTAAGGTCACCTTGGTTTTTCCAAATTAATGGGACAAAGTCTTTGTTGCTAAAGCTCAATAAATATTATATATCCATATCTTACTGACATGGTGGCTCAGTGGCTAAGACGCTGAGCTTGTCGATCAGAAAGGTCAGCAGTTCAGTGGTTTTAATCCCTAGCGCCACGTAATGGAGTAAGCTCCTGTTACTTGTGCCAGCTTCTGCCAAACCTAGCAGTTCAAAAGCATGTAAAAATACAAGTAGAAAAATAGGGACCACTTTGGTGGGAAGGTAACAGCGTTTCCGTGAGCCTTTGGCATTTAGTCATGCTGGCCACATGACCACAGAAATGTCTTCGGACAGTGCTGGCTCTTTGCTTTGAAATGGAGATGAGCACCGCCCCCAGAGTTGGGAACGACTAGCAGATATGCGTGAGGGGAAATTTTACCTTTACCTTTATTACTTAGGACTTTCATTTGATGTATATATATTTTTTCTTTTTATCACTGAATCTATACATTACATTTCTCCAAACATTTTCCATAATCACCAGCCACAATGGCCAACGACTACAGAACTATAAGCGCTGGACACATTTGAGAAGGCTGTATAACAGGAAAATAAATGTCAACCTGTTGAATTGCAGTATATATTGGAAATACTCAAAAAAAATGTTTGGCAGTATCCCCCTAGGGAGGGCTATCATAGATGAGCTTCAAAAACACAGACCACTACTAAATGGTAGAGAAGAGGTTGTAAAATTTGCTCTTTGCTATTATATACAGTATACTCATCTATACATTTGAATCCCACATTTGGTAGTTAAGGTCTGCTGTATTAAATGTGACCATAAAATACAAGGCAACATCATGATCAGCTTTCTCTCTGTGAACTTGGATTCTTCCATCTGCATTGCTGTTTTGTGGCAGGTTAAGAGGAAACTGCATGCTTTAGGAAGGTTTTTTCTTTAACTGCCATTTATACTATTTTTTCTTCCTTTCAATCTAGTTATCCTAAAACTGATAGTAAAATGAAATTCTCTTCTGAATGTCTTTGCCTATTTTCTGTATTATTATTCCCAGAAACTTCATCCACAAAAGACATAATAATCACAGTGTTGTTAATATCAATTTATCTACTTAAAAATCTAGGAAAAACAGGAAATGAGAACAAATCTCATATTCAATTCTGTGCTTGAAAGTGCACTTTTCACTCAAATATTTTACATAAAATATGTTTTACTGGGTGTTAACTTTATTGTCACCCTGTCTATGTATTTATTGTCACAAAGTATTTCTACTAAACGTTGATTTTTCCATACCTTGCCTCTGGCAATCGCTGATTTTATATTAAAAATAACATTTATGTCTTCTCTGTATTGTTGCTGTTCTGACACAAACTATAAAATGATTAATGACTATATTTTTCTTCTCATTGAAAATGCCACTATTTGCTATTTTATCCTGTGCTGAACATGTTTTAACCAGGAAAATTGGATTATTTAATAAAATATAACATTTATATCATATTATTTCACTGCTGAAATAGACTATTATTCTCTGAATACAGAAGAACAGGCTTATGAATTGGGATGATAATCCTTCTAGTTCAGGGGTGTCAAACTTGATTTCATTGAGACAAATCAGGGTTGTGTTTGACCTTGAGGTGGCAGGTGGGCGTGGCCAACTTGGCATCACTCATGTCAGGGGCGCCTATGGTGGTCCGATTACTCTGCCAGCGAAAACAGGCTCCAAAGCTCTGTTTTCAGCTGTGACAGCCTCCTGCAATCCTCTACCAACCCTCCTGCAACCCTCTACCAGCAAAAACTGAGTTCCCAGGCGCCATTTTCGCTAGCAGAGGCACCCTGGGCCAGTTCTTCGCTGTTTCCAGGTCGGCCCCACAGGCCAGATCTAAGCACCCTGCAGGGCAGATTTGGCCCATGGGCCTTGAGTTTAATACCTCTGTTGTAATCCATGGGCCATAAAACTAGAAAAAATCAAGGGATTATTATTATACGGGAAGCATGGGGTCAGCCTCTGTTTTGCTGTTTGCTTTTCGGCTGCCATTGAAACGGGGAGGGGGTGTGGGAAATATTCTGTGCAGGAGGGACTGTAAGAAAGGAGTTGTTCTCACCATCTACTGCGCATGTGGCAGGGAGAGGAGTTTACCACCAAGGCCAACTGTCCAGCATACTAACCTGATGATGATTTTTGAAGATGTCTCCCACATGATACCTGTGGAGTAATTGGATTGGACTATGGGTTGGGGTTACCAAAGGGAGGGGAATGGGTCGCATATTGATATCTATGATTGCGCGTGCTTGTGTGTCAGATCCTGCTTTGCTTAGCTACTATTTACTTATAGTCAGTAAAAGTACTCTTAATTCTAGAAAATGGAGTTGAGAGGTTTCTTTCTTGGTTATTAAGTGAAGCAGCCCTGACACATGGTGTATGGTGCATTGACTAAGATATTGGACTAAACATCAAATAATGAATTCAAATTGCCCCTAAGGAATGAAAGCCAGTCAAGTGACTTTGGGGCCTCTCATTTTCTGAGTCCAACCCATTTTGAAGATTTAGCATGGAATAATTATGAAACATTATGCATATAGCTGAATTGTACAAAATAAAGAGAAGATGTAAATCTAAACATTAATGTCATTTTACACTGATGATCTTGTAATTGTGGCAGATATATATAAAATAACAAACTTCTAAAATAATAGTATATAGGGAATAAATTGGTAGCACAGAATACAATAATGGTATAAAAATGTAAGAAGGTTTTCCATGGCTTTTTTTGCTATTATAAAATCACAGGGAAATAAATTTAAGAACCAATGTTTAAAATAACTTAGCAGTAACTTTTATTTTTATTTTTTAGCCAAGTTCCTTTCAGAACCCATTTGTACTTGATGAGTAATTCATATCAAGTTTGCTTGCATAATTGTTTAAAGGACATTTTGATCATGGCAATATTTTGGCAGTGATCCTGTGGGAAGTGACTTTTGTAAATGCATAAGTGTTGTGGCTCGGTAGGAGCCTTTGGAGCTGCTATCAGACTGACACAGAAATCTCCTGTGAGTGGTTTCAGGATGCTCACAGGAGAAGATAACAAGCAGCTGGGGCTCGTTAAGGATCTCCTCCTGTGGATAAAAGACTGATGGTGCCACGCTTTAGTTGCAGAAGTCAACGTCATTTGTTTGTTTGTTAGTTCAGTTCCGTTTCTGTTCGAGTTCGTGTTCATGATTCAAAGAGGCACTTGGATAAGTGATTTGCTTTCTGTAAACCTGGTTTGCTGTGAGAGTTTGTTTTTGCATTTGCTGTTTAACCTTTTTGCCAGAGAATTTATCTATGTAATCTATCTATCTTTGCAGCCAGCAAAAGCCGGGACTGATAAAAGACATTCCTTTGCAAGCTGTGTGTGGCTGTCGTTTGTGAACGAGCAAAGAGGGGGGTCAGAACACATATGCAAATAATCCAGGAAAACCTCAAAATAACTGCTTTAAACTTTCAGAATGATGAATGATTCACACAGCTGTACTATGTAGGATGCATTGATACTAAAAAAGCCAATTTGTGCCAGTAAGGATTCTGAGGTATTATAATTTTTCATGGATATTCTTTTTTCTCATTTTATATTAAAATGAATTCTCAAGAAATAGAAATTTACCTTGATTTTTGTACTACATTACATTTTTTTTTTCAATCCTCATTTTTAAGTGGAAGACTTGCCAATGTAAATTCTTTATTTTTATATAACAAAAGCTTATATATATATATATATATATATATATATATATATATATATATATATATATATATATATATATATATATATATATATATATGTAGCTTTTGTATCATATATATATATATGATAACAGGTTTTAAAAAGTCTAATAGTAAGTATCTATTCTAACCACAGCAATAAAATAGGACTTATATTGGTTTATTCTCTCTTGACCTTTTTGAGTTACTCAATGAAAGGTGGTTTGTGTCAGTTATCAAGATCTGAATTAAAGTAGATAGCTTTTGATTCAGTCTATGATCATCAGACTGAATCCCAAACTGATTCCTATAATTGT